TCACTTCCTCACCATCTGTCTGCCCCGAAGCATGTTGTCTTGCTGTGTCTTCTCCCCTTGCACCCAGAGAGAATGTGATGGCGGGTGTAGCTCCATCACAGTCAAATTCCCAAGCCTGGAATTCTGTGGAGGCTGGGGCCACAGCTGTAGTTCTGGGAGGCATAGCTCCCTGCTGGCTAGTGCACACTTGGAAGTGGTACATGTGCAACTCTAGGGTTTCTCTAGGTCCTGGCGTATGTGTGAGCTTTTCATCGGGTACCTGCTGCTTCCCCAGACGAGCCCAGGGGCTGCTCTCCACATCTGGCCTCTTTCAGTAAGTTGTTCTCCTACCCAGAGCTGTGTGTGTGTGTGTGTGTGTGTGTGTGTGTGTGTGTGTGTGTGTGTGTGTGTGTTTGTGTGTGTGTGGCAGGGGGGAGGTGTGCAGGTGTGCAGGTGTGCCCGGCCCTCAGGCTGTTCTCACCCTACCCCCCACCACAGCCACACAGCCCACCCTTTTCCACTCCCCAGCCCCAGGTACACCTGTACCCACATGTGTGCATGCCTGTGCAGTCCAGAAGTCACCCTCAGGTGTCATTCCTCAGGAGCTGTCCCTTGCTTTCTGAGACAGGGTCTCTCATTGGTCTGGAGTTCACGAACTAGGCCAGCAAGCAAGTCACCAGCTGAGCCGTCTTCCCACTCAGTTGTTGCCAGTTTTCATTTCTGTTTTATCTTCTCGGAACATTTTCCTGCCTCCTTACTCAGTGTGCTGTTCAGAATGCAGTGATATCGGGCCATCCCACCACGCAGTCGGTCAGGTAGCTACCATGTGCAAACCACCCCATCTCTACAGATAGACTGGGGAACAAAAAGCACTGCTGAGTCGACCCAAATTCCCATTCCTTGGGCCCTGTCCGAGGGCTACACTCAGCCCAGGAGCATCTCCCAGCCAAGTTTTCTAGACTCCGTCTCATCTCTGGAGCTTCAGGGTATCATCTGACAGAATCATACCTTCCCAGCAGATCTGTGTCCCTTACCAATACCCCAGCACCTTTCTGAGGTCTTCCCTACCCTCCTGAGTGCATCTGTATTCTGCTCTTGAGTCATCTGGGGGTGAGGGGTGAGTCTGTTATAGCCCTCCTGCCCTTTGAATCGGTGGTCTGTGGCATATCCCTCTTTAATCCTCCTGGCCTTGGGGACACTAAATTCTTAGGTTCTCCTCCAAGGCTGACCACATCTTTAGAGGTTCCTCCTCCTGCTCAGCACCCCACTTCCTGCAGGGCTCCCCAGACAGGGCTGGTTCTCTTAGCCACAACTCCCAGTTCTCATTAGAAAGGCTCCCTCCTCTGAAGCCAGACTACTTCTGAAGGCAGGTAGGTACCCTGCTCCATCAAGCGGGTGCCTAACAGCACAGATTTAGTTTTTTTCCCTCTCTCCCTTTCTGGCATCCCAGTTGCTCACACAGACAGATACACGGGGCACACACACATGGAATGTGACATTCCAGTGACCATGTGGACACAGAACTATACACACTCAACAACAAACATGCTAGATTTAGCTTAGAAATCTGAAGCATTTTTAAGTGAGGATTGGGCCCCTGGTCCACCTTCCATGGTCTGGAGGTGTTCTGAAGGAAGCGGAGACTGAAATCACCCTAGTCAGGCTCCAGAACACGCACGGCAGTGAGTACAGTGGCTGTGGCTTCTGTTACCTGAGATCAATGTCTCAAACTATTAAGGGGAAAGTTCCAGAAATAAGTAATTCATGAGTTTTAAGCTGCACACATCATTTCTTGGTGGTGTGATAAAATCTTATGCCTTCCTACCCTATCTTGCTTGTGATATGGACCTTATCTTTTTTGGGGGGGTGGGTTTCCAAGACAGGGTTTCCCTGGATGTCCCAGAACTTGCTCTGTAGACCAGGCTGGCCTCGAACTCATAGAGATCTGCCTGCCTCTGCCTCCCGAGTACTGGGACTAAAGGTGTGTGCCACCACCACCAGGTGGACCTTCTCTTTCTCCAGAGTATCTAGGCTGTATACACTACCCACCCATTGGTCATCTGGAAGTTGTCTTGTTATCAGATCAACTTCTATGATTTCTCAGAGCTTCATTATTCATTATCACACATGAATAAGTAATGATGCTGGCAGTTTATTATAGCATATTGTTTTATTTTGTTTATTATTAGTTGCTCATCTCTTACTGTGATTAATTTATAAATTAAACTCAGTTATATAAGTGGAAAAACCTAGTAAACATAGGTTCAGTATTGTCCAAGGTATGAGGTAGCCCCTGGGTATTTTGGAAGGCATCCTTTGATACTTAGAAGCCTTGGTTTGACAACTGGTGGCTTTTAGCCGCCCAAGGTCATGTTCCAGCTCCACCTCTTCACTGATGCCTCAGTCCAAGCTCAGTAACACATCTCCATCTCAAAGCTGGGAACTGGCCACAGACATGAGCTGAAACATGGGTCCATATTTTATGAGAGGCAGATAGGGAGACCCCTTCTAACTGGCAGGGAGGTCAACAGTGACTGCTGTGGGATGTTCTGTGTGGCAAATGTGTTGCTGATTAATCAATAAATAAAACACTGATTGGCCATTGGCTAGGCAGGAAGTGTAGGCGGGACAAGGAGGAGAATAAAGCTGGGAAGTGGAAGGCTGAGTCAGAGAGACACTGCCAGCCACCATGATGACAAACAGCATGTGAAGATGCCGGTAAGCCACGAGCCATGTGGCAAGGTATAGATTTATAGAAATGGATTAATTTAAGCTGTAAGAACAGTTAGCAAGAAGCCTGCCACGGCCATACAGTTTGTAAGCAATATAAGTCTCTGTGTTTACTTGGTCGGGTCGAGCGGCTGTGGGACTGGCAGGTGAGAGAGATTTGTCCTGACTGTGGGTCAGGCAGGAAAACTCAAGCTACAGTGACTGAGGCCCATGGAGAAAACAGATGGACCAAAGGTGGTACTCACAGCCCAGTCTCACGGAGCGGGCCAGAGGCTTGTGAGGTCTACTACCCAGGCACACCCCAGATGCCTAGCCCATATGGTGGGCATTCCAGGGTCGGCTCCAACATCGGATACCTTAGATACTCAGTGTTGACCACTATCAGGATGGATCAGAACCACAGGAGAGGGGAGTAGCAGGGAACCCGGTGAGGCAATGTAAGAAAAGCAGGCAGAATGAATTTGGGGTAACTTTTTCCTCCCTCACTGGAACCAGTCATCTCTGGAAAGACTCATGAGATGAGCTAGCCACCAACTTCACAAATAAATATCAGGCAAAAGTATCAATAAAGTGGCCAAGGGTGACGGCACATATCAGCACCTTGGAGACTGAGGCCAACTGGGCTATATATTAAATAACGCAATAAAGAAAAAAAGAGACAGAAACTGGATCCAGAGGGACTGTCCTGACTGAAGCAGTGTCCGTGAAGGTAATTCTATGGGACCTATAGCTTGATTTTTTTTTAATTATTTATTTTTATTTTATGTGAACGGTGTTTTGCCTGCATGTATGTCTGCATGCAATGCCCATAGAGGCCAGGAGAGGGCGTCCAGTCCCCTGGAATTGGAATTACAGCCAGTGATTAGCCTTCATGTGGGTGGTAGGATGCACACTGGGGTCCTCTGGAAGAGCAGCCAGTGCTCCTTTAACTACCGCCCAGCTTTCCACCCCCTAGAGCCTGATTCTTCACCTGTTACAGCTTGTGCTTTCACATTAGTCTCCTACTTAGGGTTTCTACCGTGTAACAAAATAACCAGCCTCAAATCATACAGCTGTAAGCGGGCAAGGTTTATTTATTTTTTTAAGAGATTTGTTTTTATGTGTATGAGTGTTTTGTCTGCATGTGTGTAAATACACTGTGTCTGCAATGCCTGCAGAGTCCAGAAGAGGGTGCTGGGTACCCTGGAACTAGAATTATGGACAGCTATATCTCTCCATGTGGGTGCTGGGAAGTGAACCCAAGTCCTCTGCAAGAGCAGCAAGTGTGTCTACCACTGAGCCATCTCTCCAGTCCCCGAAGAAGAGATTTAAACACAGATTGCTCATCCTTGATCTAAAACGTGGGGATGATAGTGCTTTTGGATTTTGAACTTTATTTTTAAAATTTTGAAGTTTTGAAACATTTGTATATACATAACAAAATAACTTGGAAATGGGATCCAAGTTTACATTTAAAAACTCACTTAGGTTTCATAACACCTTATACATACAGCCTGGAGCTAAGGGAAAGAATGTGTGTGCACACTCGCATGTGATTGAACCTAAGACCTCACATATGCTAAGTAAGTGCTCTATCACGGAGTCCTGACCTCCCCACGCCACCCTTTGTTTTTTTTTTTACATTTGAGATGGTGTCTCACTAAGTTGCCCAGGTTAGCCTTGAACTTACTCTGGAGCCCAGGCACGCTTGAATTTGCCATCTTCCTGCCTCAGCCTCTACTTGTTCTGATCCTGTCTGCAGCTTGAGCCCTCCCTCGAACCCAGCCTCACTTCAGTTCTCAGTGCACCCCTTCCCATTGGCAAGTGCCACCCCTGACACCCGGGGCCCACTCCAACCTGCTCATCCTAGTCACACGCTGCTGCCACCTCCACCCCCCACCCTGTGGCTTGGCCTCCCAACTTGGGCCGTATCCTTGGCTCCTCGCTGTCTCGCAACACCAAATCCTGTTGCTCTTCTGTCCCTCGCCGGCCCCCACAGAACCACTTTCAGTGGACCCACCCTCACCCACGCCGCAGCCAGCCTTCCACTGGTGAAATTGGTCTCAAGGCTGGCCTCTGAAGCGGCTTTACTCCTTTACAGCCCTGTATCATAACGGCCCTTTTAAAGACTGGAAGTCAGTGGAGCCCAGTCCCAGTGGATACATCTACGAAACACTCCTGCAGCTAAGGCTCAGGGAACGCCACTGCGGAAGAGGAGACAGGAAGGCTGTAAGAGCCAGAGGTCAGGGAGTTTGCTGGGAGATTGTATTCCCTCGAAATGTCAGAAACCACGCCCACAAAGTTTCGCCAGCATGACTACCCAGATGTGAGTGGAACAAAGATAACAACTATGGACATGCCACAGTGGACGGGGGACGTCCATGATGACTCAACCTTCCACAGAGGAAACTATAGGAAACTATCGATTGCTGTGAGTGGGAGCTGGGCAGGTTACATTTAGGATTATACATGTCTATACATATACATATATGCATGTAAAACAATTAATGAAAAAAGAGGTCAAGAATTTGACAGAGAGCAAGGAGGGATAGGGATAGGAGGCTTTGGAGGGATAAAAGGGAAGTGAGAAATGAAGTATTATAATCTAAAAAAAAAGACAGAAGTTAGCCCTGTCGCTGTTCAGCTCCCAGGGTCCTCGACACTCAGGGTGGGAGCTGCTGTCCTTAGCAGTCAAGGCTGCCCTGCTGTGACCCTCACTCCGTGTTCTTATTTCCTCCCCCTCCCCCGCCCACTCCAGCCACAACTGCCTTCTGTGTGCTTTGACAGCAGAACAGCCTTCTGCTCACTGCTGTTCCGCCCTGCACTCCTGCTCCTTTGCTTCAAGCCTACCTCAGCAGCCCACACAGAAGCCCAGGACCCCGTCCTGCTGCACCCCGTCGTCCTGCTGCACCCCGTCGTCCTGCTGCACCCCGTCGTCCTGCTGCACCCCGTCGTCCTGCTGCACCCCGTCACCCTGCTGCACCCAGTCCTGCTGCACCCCGTCGTCCTGCTGCACCCCGTCGTCCTGCTGCACCCCGTCGTCCTGCTGCACCCCGTCCTGTTGCACCCCGTCATCCTGCTGCACCCCGTCATCTTGCTGCACCCAGTCCTGCTGCACCCCGTCACCCTGCTGCACCCCGTCATCTTGCTGCACCCAGTCCTGCTGCACCCCGTCACCCTGCTGCACCCCGTCACCCTGCTGCACCCAGTCCTGCTGCACACCGTCGTCCTGCTGCACCCCGTCGTCCTGCTGCACCCCGTCGTCCTGCTGCACCCCGTCGTCCTGCTGCACCCCGTCCTGCTGCACCCCGTCGTCCTGCTGCACCCCGTCCTGCTGCACCCCGTCGTCCTGCTGCACCCCGTTGTCCTGCTGCACCCCGTCGTCCTGCTGCACCCCATCATCCTGCTGCACCCCGTCACCCTGCTGCACCCAGTCCTGCTGCACCCCGTCGTCCTGCTGCACCCCGTCCTGCTGCACCCCGTCGTCCTGCTGCACCCCGTCCTGATGCACCCCGTCATCCTGCTGCACCCCGTCATCCTGCTGCACCCCATCATCCTGCTGCACCCCGTCCTGATGCACCCCGTCGTCCTGCTGCACCCCGTCACCCTGCTGCACCCCATCACCCTGCTGCACCCCATTTCTCCACAGCACAGGCTGCCTTCTGTCAGATGTTCATGCCTCTGCTCTCTGACTTCCCTACCCGAGCACCATGGGGGCGGGCGGGCGGGGTGTTTCTTCTGCTTACTGAGCTCCAGGCCTTGGAGCCTCAGGCACCATAGGTGCTCAGTAAGTACTGACTGAGATGAACAATTCACAGCCAGCAGGAGCCTCTGTGCCACTGAGCACACCGCTCAGGGACTAACACTTTTTATGCCAGCTATCTGTAGGCCTTGAAATCCTCTGGGTAGAGCAAGACTGGCCTGGGGTGGGCTGCCGGTGGAGACTGAAGTCTGAACAATGTTCCCCACTCACAGGGAAGAGCCCTAGAGGAGGCTCCAGCCTCAGAGCACTAGGTGCCTGGGTAAAGACGAAAGGGCTGGGAAGGATGTACACAGACAGGCAACAGTCCAGGTCACCTGATATCCACGGGGCATCTAGGTCCTGCAACCTGAGGCACCCACTACACCAAGTGCTAGGTTTAAAATCCCATGGACCAGGGTCCCTTTCACGAAATTTCACTGTGACAATAGCATGAGGCCAGCCTTTTGATTTCAGCCCTTCGTGTTTTCAAATATCTATTTCAAACTTTTCTCTACAAACCTTGACCACTCCCTCCAGCCTCCCCGGGAAACTTCACTTCCTACTGCACAGAAAACACAGAAGTCATCAGACCAGAACAGCCTCTACTTCCTGCCACCACACCTGTGCCTCCCTGCACGGGGGCCACGATCTGCCCTGGCTCTCTCATAGTGGCTGCAGAGGTAACCTCAGAATTCAGCCAAGCTCCCCAGCTGGCAAACGCCTGCCCTGGACTCCTGGGCAGCGTCTGTGGTTGCTCATGCATGCTCACCTGCTCTACATTCACGCTCCACATCAGCCAGCTCTATCCTTCAGCATTCAGTGCTGTCTCTCACAGGACTGAGCAGAACCAAAGCTCCGGACTCTCAGACGTCCCTGGAATCCCTGTGCCTTGTCCCCACTAGCCCGCATCTCCTCATTCCACAAACCTCAGCTTCCCAAGAAGGCCGTACACTCTTACCACCCCCAAACTTCTCTTTTCCGGCCCCCTGTGACTGACTTCACTAGTGCCACTGGTCATCTGGTTTTCCCTTATCTGTCCTTGAGGCAGCTTGTGACACAGTTAACCCCGGACTGTTCAGACTTAATACAGGTACTTTAAAATACTGAGGAGCTTCCTTGAAACCAACTGAGCTGGCATGGAAGATGGTGTACCATGATGTGAGGTCCACGCCTTTCCTCTCAACCCAGACATCCTCCCTGAGAGACCCACCTGCACGACTGCAGACCTCAGACACTCTGAAGTCAGTGCATCCAAAAAGGAGCAGATGACCCTGCCCTGGGTTGCTTTCTCCAGAGTTACTTCTAGGAAGATATTCATTCCCTTCTCTAGCAATGAAGCCAGCTCAACATACCTCGCCTATGGATTCTGCCCGTGTCCCTCCAACCCCGTCTGGTTTTGTAGTCATGCCATTTTGTTCTGCTTCTTTTACAAAATACTTACTGTCGTGTGTGTGTGTGTGTGTGTGTGTGTGTGTGTGTGTGTGTGTTATGCCTGCATGCATGTGCGTGCACCACATACACACAGTGCCTGCGGAGTCCAGAAGAGGGCACCAGATCCTTTGGAACCAGAGTTACAGACCATTGTGAGCTGCCATGTGGGTGCTGGGAACTGAACCCAGCTCCTCTACAAGAGCAGTCAGTGCTTGATGGGAAAATGTCTTTCTGTACGCTGTGAATATGTGTAAATGTGTTGCTCTGATTGGTTGATAAATAAAGCTGTTTGGCCTATGGCAAGGCAGCTTAGAGGCAGGCAGGAAATTCAAAGGGAGAGACAGGAAGAAGGCCGAGGGAGATGCCAGTGAGCCGCCCAAGGAGCAACATGTAATGGAACTCAAAAAAAAAAAAAAGCCACGGAACATGTGGTGACACATAGATTAATAGTTATGGGCTAATTTAAGTATAAGAGCTAGCTAGCAAAAGGCTTAAGCCATGGCATGCAGTTATACTTAACATAAGCTTCTGAGTGATGATTTTATAAGCAGCTGCGGGGTCCATGGGGCTGGGCAGGACTGGAGAAAACTTCAACTACAAGTGCTCTTAGCTGCCACCTCCCCAGCACGGCTCTGTTTCTTTTGTTTTTGATTTATGCTGACTTGGGAAATAGGACAAATGTTCCTAGGCTGTACCCAAGCTGTGTTCCCAGCGTCTTCCTCAGAAGGCAGAAGACCCTCTGCAGTATCTGCTTAGCCTGGTCCCATTCACCAACCCTCCTCCCCCAGTTCTAAGCCACCCAGGGGGAAGCCCTGGCTGGTGACTACAAGTCAGCCCCACCACTGCCTGCTCCTGGTGACCTGGAGTCTCTGGTTCACTTCTCTGGTCTGCTTTATTTCCCTCTGCTGGGTCCCTGTGTTGACCTTCTACCAAACGCTGTTCTTCCTTAAAGTGGCAGTCTGCTTTGGGTCTTTCCAAGGACCTAGAATCCTAGCCCCCAAGCCTCTGCCTCTGAAGCTGCCTAGAACTCATTCTAGCTAATCCCCACTGTGTCTTGTCCCAACCCACTCACCCTGCCCCTGAGGTCTCTGGCCTAGACTAAGAAGGGACAGCATAGGATGACATAATTTCTGGTCTACGCTGGCACATGGAAGTTCATCTGCTAGCCTGTGTCTGCTTTAGGTCAGGCATGCCTTCCCCAGATCCAGAGATCTCACAACTCTAGTGCTGTTAACATACAGCCTTCCTGAGCTCTCATACACTGGGCTTGGTATGGATATTGGCTCATCTTATCCGTCCAGAGCCCCAGAGGTGGGAGACATCACCACCTCTTCAAGCCAGTGGGACTAAGATGCTTATGAGACTTGGGCAACTTGCCTTGATCACATGACCATACCCAGAAGGTCAAAACTCCAGATTTGACTGCTTCTTGTGCTGAGACACCAAATACCCACAATCCCAGCATTTGGGAAGCTGAGGCAGGAAGGCTGATGCCAAGTTCCAGGCCAGTCTGGACTACACAGTGAGTTCAAGGGAAGCATGAGCTATGGAGTGACATTTTATCTCAAAAATAAAAGAAAGCAATCCAGATTCGGATCCCAGCCTGCCAGATTATGCAACCCACACTCTTCCACTCTGACATACCGAAAGCAATGCGTGTAAACCAGTAAGGCTTACAGAGACAATCTGCAGTATGGTGGAAAGAAAAACAGAATACAGACAAACCTGGGGACTGAAAAGAGTAAATGTATACTTCAGGCCACCCAGGAAAGCGGTTCCGAGCCTGGTCAGGGACCCGACTAGAACAGGGAGACAGCAGTGGACCTTGAAACAGTTGGAGAACTGGGAGGAAGAAGCAGCTTGAGATGAGTGTCTAGGGAGCTCTGGAAACACCACATTGAATCAAGGTGACCAATACTACAGAAATCAAGTGTCTTTCTTTAAGCCTCGAGGTTTAAGCCTCGGAGTGAGAAAGAACTCCAAGAGAGGAGTCTAGGGACAGAAAACTGATTTCCAGATATAGCCACATTGGCACCTCCAAAGCAGGAGGAGGATGGGAGGAATAAGGCCAAATTAGGGAACCCCAGTGGGGACACAGCCAGCTCCAAGGAGATGGCTGACAGACAGGCTGGCAGACAGCTGCAAGGCTCCTGCTGGCGACAGAGGATTAGCAGACCTCAGGAGCCTTCATGAGGCCTCTGAACAGCAAGCGCAGCAGGTGCAGGGAGCCCAGGGAGGCTGATTCCAAAAGTGCAGACACCTCTTTCCATAGGCTTCCAGTGAACTTAGGAGAAAAGAAACTGGAAACACAGAGCCTTCACATCAACAGCAGAGTGTAGAAGGCTTGGACCAGGAGCAGGGGAGGAGCGGGGGGGGGGGGGGGGGGGGGGGGGGGGGAGCAGCAGAGGGAGCCTGCCTCAGGAAGAAGACAGGCAGTTGGTTCTTCATGGAGGTGGAGGTTTCTGGCTGGGTTGGGAGGAGTGCCGCTTGGCCTTGAGGGAAGAAAAGGCTGTGGGGAGATTCCAGAGGTGTTTTGATTCGGTGAGGAGGGAAACTGACTTGGCACAGGCTGCCGAAATGAGCGTTGCCCTCTGGGCTGTCATGGATGCACACATCTGAGTGTGCTGCAGAGGGCACAGCAGGCACAGCGGGCACAGGTGCACATCACAGCCAGCTGCCTGCGACATTAACATGCAAATGTGCCTGGGCCTAGAGTCCCTGTCAGGACTAAGGAGCGTTTTCACTTTTATCTCGAGGTTTGCCATTCCACTTCTTCCTGAGACAGGGCTTGCCAGAGGCCATGCATAGGAATCCCTCAAGCACTGTTTTCTTAGCAAAGCAGCACAGAAGTGCTGGCCCAGGCCTGGTAGTGGTGGTGGCGGCAGGTGCCCCAGCCCTTGGGATTCCTTGTCTGTCCCATAGAATGACTCACCTCTCCCTGTCCCTAACGGTGCTGTAGACATCCCACCTGCCACCCCTCCCACAGCTCTGCAGGGACACCAGCTCCTGCCCAGAAGAATCAGAAAAGCTACAACTGGGGCCAGGAAAGCACTTAGAGACTGTATCTGTCCCTGCGTCCCAGTCATCTGCTTGTTAAGTCTTTAAAACTGCAGTTGTGGGGGCTAACATCTGGCTGGTTCTCCTATCCACCCGTCTAGAGAATTTGGGCTTCTTCTGGTCAACATATAATGGCAAGAACATAGGATCCTGCCCACTCCTATTGCTGTGAGATTTTCTTATCACTTCTGAGTTCCAGCTTGCAATAAGGTGGAGTTGGAGGAAAAGCACCTGCCTCTCCCTTCTCTCTGGGAGAGAGAAGCTAGTCTGACGTGA